CCTCCTCCTCCTCTTCTCCTCCCTGCTCAGGGGCTGGTCGGATTTGCACTTGGCCCTCTCCTCGCCCTCCGTGGGCTCGTCCGAGGTGCAGCCGGCCGACTTGAGGCCGTTGAGCATCGTCTCCGGGTCGGACTGAGTCCAGGAGAGGTCCGCCTCAGCCTGGTCCGGGCTCAGCATCATTTTTATTCTCGGGTGTTGGCAGTCACTCCTCCTTAAGAACCTGTAGCGTGGACAAAACCAGCTGTTAAAACATTACATTTAAGCTATTCCCTTCTTATAAAATGTGATCCCAAATACAGCAAGGTGAACTGCACCTGTGTGACAGTCAGCATTTTATATAAAGACAATAAACTGACCCTATTCTTAATATACATGATCGAAACTCGCAAAGAATAAGCAAAAATAATGAAAAAAAACGTCAATTAAATGTAATTGTTTTCAGTGTTTTCTGCCATCCTGAGGCCCCAGTATGAGAAATCCCATAGCGGGGACTTGTTTGGGTGCCAGGACCCCCCATAAACCCAAACGCAGTCCACGTTCGTTGCATAATAACATTAAACTCCATAAATAATGAATGGCTCCAAAAACTGGTGTAATGGTTAATTAATTTAAGCCTAAGGCCTCAAAAAAAAGAGCCGAACAATTAGGCAGAAACATCACATTTTCAAAGTGTCATATTGGATTTTTCTCTCAAATTATTATTATTATTATAAAAAAAAAAAGAGGACGCGAGTTGTGATTATTTATGAAGGAGAAACTCCCCTTTTTTTGGGGGGTGAATTAACATAATCAGAATTGGCCATCTGTCACAGTGTGATGAACACATCTGCTTGGCTGAGGCCAGAGTGACTTGACAGCATGGAGGCAGAAGACGGCAAAAATAATGTTGACATCTGCTGGACAACAATCAGTGGAGCTGCTGTGCTTTAAATAAAGTAGAAATATGTCTATGAGTGGCTTATACTAATAGAAAACAGGTGATGAGGCATAAATATTTTTAGAAACTGATATAAAATTATAAGTGTGTTTAGATTTGTTATTTTCCACATTTGAGACTCACCTTGACAAAGAGTTGGGAGGCGAAATATCTTCTGGGAAACGAACTTAAAAAAAAAAAACGCTCTTGAGCGGAGCTTCAAGTCCAAATTAACTCATATTCCACCGGACAAACCAACCATCAGATGTGACACAGATTGAACCTGCAGCCTCCCGGAAACGAAAAAAAAAAAGAAAAGTTCAAAATTAAAAAAAAATAAAACTATTTTTTTTTTATTTCTACTTTTTCAGCCGCGAACTTGCAACATGGAGAATCACGCAGCAGGGTGGGGGGGGTCAACGCCGTCAATGCGAGGAAATGTTTCTGCAGATCAAAAACAGTCCCGAAGTCTTAAAGATGATCAGTCGATTAAAACAAAAACAACAGAGGAAGGAGAGGAAGAAGATAAGAGTGATGGGAGCAGGGATCAGTCAGCCCTCCGTGTGATCCCGGAGATGGAGAGACAATAGAGGAGATGGGCAGATAGTGGAGAAAGTGCAGAGAGAGGGGCTACTCGTCCATCCGCCTGTGTGGAAGATAGGGGATCAAAGGGGGGAGAGATAAGCGAGGCTCTGCCCGTGTGAGGAATCAGCGGATCGGAAAGCAGTTCACGGATAATCCGCCTCTCTCCCTTTTTCTCCTCCAGTCTTTCTTCCGCCGAGTGTCATATGCGAGATAAGATCCAAACGATCCCGACTAATAAAGGCTCACTTCAGGGACGGAGGGGATGGAATATATTTGAGGAATGGTATTGTCTAACACCGCCCCCTCCCTCCCTCCCTCACCCTTCCTCTCTCTCTCTCTCTCTCTCGCTGACTCGTACTCGCTCTGTGTCGCTACTGTCAGGAAAACATTGCAGCACACACACACACACACACACACACACACACACACGGCGACACACAAATCTCCTCTTTAAGTAGATAATGAGCTATTCTTTGAAACAGCAGGAGGCCATTACAGAGGTTAGTGTGTGTGTGTGTGTG